GGGGAAAAAGAGGGGAGGGAGAAAAGGCGGGGTGAGCGAGAAGAAGAGAGAGAGAGAGAGAGAGAGAGATGATCGCATTCGGTTACATGCTGCTCCGTACGCGCAGCAGAAATCTTTCCCTAACCGCCCCTTCCCAACTTAAGAGAGCTCACAAACACGTGAAGGGCAAGCGGCGTGGCATCAGTGGCCAGACGGACGAGGAGGAACTGAAGCGGAAAGAGAAAGCGGAAAGAGAACACGGTCCACTGTTAAAGAAGAAGCGTTAACGGCCTCTGGCTCGACTACCGGTCTTCCCCCGAATAGAACGCACGGTCATTACCACTACTGCATCTAGACTGTAAGTTGCGCCAAATACAGGCATAATGACCGTACGTTCTATTCCGGGAGGCAGGAAAAAGTAGTTCATCGTACACGAAGGCCCCCTTTCCAGCCCCATCCAACGGTAGACCTTTCGCCCATCGCACTCTTACCCCCACTCCAGCCGCTAATAGGCCGCTCTCGGACCATCTTTCAGCAAGAAACACGTGATGAACAGGCGGCCAGTGACGCAGTGGCCACGTGGAGGAGAAGAAGAAAAGGAAGAAGAAGAAGAAGAAGAAGAAGAAGAAGAAAAGGAGGAAGAAGAAGAGGAGGCAATAGAGATCGCCCGCCCGATCATTTCACCACTTTCCAGCAAGAAACACGTGATGAGCAGGCGCGGCCAGTGACGCAGTGGCCACGTGGCCACGTGGAGGAGAAGAAGAAGAAAAGCAGAAGAAGAGGAGGAGAGGAGGAGGAGAGCAGAGCAGAGAATTCGCCTGCCCGCGATCATTTAACAAAGTGAGCACCCGGTAGCTAGATAAATGGTACAGGTAGATTTTCCAATACAATCAACGATGGGCTGAGAACCTTCACCCATCGCTCTCTCCCTACTCTTCCATTACTTCCCTCTCCCCTCCTGTCTGCATCACTACAGCTGATGCCCATTTTGCTAACGACACTTCAGCACTGGATTCGTCTTGGTATATTACCATCTTTGCATGAAAAAAACACCCGGTCGATGATCTGCGTATCTAGACTAGAAGGTGCCCCAAATACCGCGCGTTCTATCCGACCGACGACGGTAGTTTTGCCACGTCAGCATTTCCAGTCGGTTTGACTTCATCGCGGCTCAATCTAATTACTTGCCCCCTCTAAATGAGAATTCATGAGCCTTTCTTTCTTCAAGAAGGTGTCTTACACGCAGAGCACGCCTCGACAATCTCGACAATCTCCATAGAGAGGGAGGAGCAGGAGAGAAAGGTAACTAGAATCTCGAGAATCCCGAAGAAGCGGGGGATCCCTTTCTCTGGAGCGAAGATCATAAACGAAGAGAGGAGGGAGGACAGAAGGAGAGAAGGAAGAAGAAGAGAGAGGAGGAGGGAGGAGGAGGACGAGCGCAAGGCCAGGCCAAGACGAAGAGTAAGAAAGACGTAAACAAACGGACGGAAAGGAGTACGAAATGACGGAGACAAAGAGACAAAAGGTGTGATACTTGGCACAAACCTGGGCAGAGGAAGGAGAGGAGGCGAAGGAAGCCATTGAGGGAGAAAACACGAGGACCAGAAGAGGAGGGAACTCGTCGCCGACCGGGCGACTCATAGCGTTTCCCCCATCCTCGCCTGCCTGCATTCCTCCTGTCCTACCGCTGTCCATAGCGTCGGCTATCCTCGAGCCGCCTAAAACATAGGACATCAGGAGGACGAAACGAATGAGGCCAGGAGAGTTCGACCCAGCTCTCCTCTCTCTCTCTCTCTCTCTCTCTCTCTCTCTCTCTCTCTCTCTCTCTCTCTCTCTCTCTCTGTGTGTGTGTGTGTGTGTGTGTGTGTCTGTGCGTGTG